AAATTTTGTTAATGAGAATTTAGGAATTCGTTTACATGAATTAGAGACACTAATATCTAAATATATAAACAAATACATTGGAGGAATCATTGAATAGCTAAATAATCTTGATCAGATACTCTATAAAACAAAAAAATAAATAAAACGGAAGTCTTTTTGATAACGTTATGTACAAAGAATGAAATCATAGAAAAATAAAAAACCGAAATAAAATCGTTAAGACAATAAGTATTAAAAAGAGAAGAGAAAGAGAGAACAAGCGAAAAAAGAAAATAAATATTAATAAAAGACACAAGAAAATTGAAATCAAATACTCACAAATAATTTAAACATACTTGTTCATTATTTAATGATAGAAAATATTCTTGAAAATATTCAAACAGAAAATCAAATAAAAAAAGACTAATTAGAGGATTAATAAAAGAAAAAAAATAAAGAAAAATATATTTAGTTCAAGTTAAAAAACAAACAAAATTCTTAAAAGAATCAAGAAATAAATTATTATAACAATGTGATGAAAAGATAAAAAAAGTTATATCATATCTAAAGAAAGAAAAGTGATAGAAGATAAAATAATATAAAAAAAAACAGAAATGAAACAACTAAAAGAATAGACAAATAGAAGAGTAAGAAATATACTATTTGATTTAGATATTGATAACTGGAATAAAAATAATTCAGTAGTTGAACAAGGAATTATAGACTAACAATGTCTAAAAGTTATTGTTGAAGATTTAGAAGGAAATAAATTTGGAAGATATTTTAAAATTAATAAACTTGGTTATATAAATGATCAAAATACATGTGTATTTTCAAAGAATTATTAAGAAGATTGAATCTAATTAAAACATTATAGAAATAAAACTAAATTAATACTTAGTACTTATAATATTAATTATAAAATTATTTATTAATAAAATTCATTTAATTTTCTTATTTTTCTCAATAATTCAATAAAAATTACAAATACAACCTATGACTATAAAACATTAACCTATATGAATTTGAGGTGCCTCTTCATTTCTTCTTCTAATTTATTTTTTAAGTGTCTTATATTCTAGTAGAAAGATGAAACTCCAAAAAAATCTTCTATACCTCTGAAAAAGTTAAGAAAATTTAACAATGAATAACAAAAAATAAAAAGATGTTTTACAAAACTAACAAAATGATGGATATACCCTTTATCAAGGAAAGAAGAGATAAGCATTTCTAATAACGAGAAACTAACCAATAAACAATTAAATAAGTTTGATAAAACTCTTTAATGCGCTGTGGACATTATTATGAAAAAAAGCATGTTTACAAACCTTACTTCTGTTGATTAAATGCCATTGTTTTATTCATTTTTTTTAGAAACGGAACATATGTAATCAGAACAAAACCAAAACCCCAACCTGTAAAACTTATTTTAAACTATAGGTATTTTACTCCCAAAATGACACTCACATAAAACCTTAATATCTTTTTTTACTTTTCCAAGTTATTATTTTTTTTTAAAATAACACAACAAAAATAGTCTTCTTAGATAAAATATTTAAAGTAAAAATATAACTCTTTAAATTAAAAAAACTATTCATATTAAAAACAAATTAGCCTAAGTACAACTTTAATATTATGACCTATCATTTTCATAACAATCCTTTGAAATTGAAAAGTTGATAATAGCGAATGTAGATAATTTAGGAGTTAACCTAAGGATTATTTTTATCATATTCACCTTAAGAAAAAATTCCCTTAAAACTTATTTTTAGAACTCTCTTTTTTGTTTTTTAGAATATTTTTGAAATATTGATATTTATTAGAAATCAATTATGAATTACATATGATAAGGTTCTCATCATATTGAGAGGTGAGGGAATTAATTTCTTCAATACCCTTTTATTTCTATTGAAACATAGTTTTTTCAAATGTGCTCAAATTAAGTGGTTCATTATTTAAGTTATTACATCATTTTTATTTTGAAGTTAATAAGTATTAACACATTCATTGTTTATAATGTTATTTTTTGTTAAGTATACAAATAACACTATGACAATCATTTAACTCCTTTACCATCAACACTACTTAAAGAATCCATTTTCTTAATAGTACCTCATATATTTATCCCAAATCTATCACTGATAAATACACCTGAGTCCTAATAAATAATAACACTACAACCTTAATAAATAATCTTATATCAAATAAATAATACTCTATAATAATCAGCCATAATAAGTATTAATAAATAATACTAATTAGTATTGAATCAGGACTTTATCTCACCAAAAGCACATCATGACAAACGATAACTGGAGATTCAAATTTTGGATATAGGGTTCTATATAGTATCTCTGATGTGCCACATTCGAACCATAAAATAGTTATAAATTATAGTTAATTAATTAAAAAAGAATTTAAAAAGTAAATTCTAATAAAGTATTTTTAGCATAATAATTATAAACTTAAAAAAAGAAAAATAATAAGAATAATAATAGTTTATTTCAAATAGAAAATAAAAAAAAATAACTTTAGTATACTATTTTTTAACTTTTAGGAAAATACCAAAAAAAATCAATATTAAACATCATTAGAACAAATATATTTTCAACTAAGAACTAAAATCAATTAATTAAATGAGTAAAATAGTAGGTATTACTATTAACGACTCTAAAGTTTATTTCTCAGTAATAGAAGGCTCATATCCAACGTGTGAAAGAATTAGACCAGTAGATTTAGCTATATCTTTTCATGATGGAAAATTAAATTTTTTTTCTGATGCATTAAATGCCGTTTGTTAGTTCAAAAATAACTAAATAAATAAAAGTTCAAATAATTTAATAATAATATAGAAATCGTGTATTTCATCATTAATAGATATTAGATCCCTTAAAAATAAAATAGAACAAGATAATAATTGTCGTAAAATTGTTTCAGATGAGTATGAGATATGGGTTTTATTAATGAAACAAATGAATGAGCATATTAAAGATCAATTAAATTGTTCAGAAGAGTTACAGTATATTATTGCAATTCCAGAAAATTCACTTGAATCATTTAGAGATGTTATTTCTATTGCCTGTAAAGTAAATCAAATGAAATTACTTAGAATTATTACTGTAGATTGTTGTAGTATTTTAGGGTATACTACAACTGTAACAGAGTTTTATCCAAAAGCTGATGAATGTAATAATAAACTTATATTAGGTGTTAATTTAGATGATTTTCATACTTCTATAACGACGTATTTTGTTTCAAGAACAGTTGCTATTAAAATTAATGAGGTAAGTTGTAGTATCGGACAAAGAGATTTTCTTTCATTAGTAGCAAATATTCTTAATATTAATAACGATGAAGTTACATTAAATAGTGATATCGATAGTTGGAACTATAAATACAGAAAAGTTGCTGAACCAATTTATGATGTTATTAATAGATTTTCTGATTCTAATATTACACAGACATATTATAGTAATGATGATGGAGAATCTATTGAAGTTACTAAAGAACAATTAAAAGAGTCATTTAAAAATTTTATTAAAGTATTAGGTGATTTAGTTAAAGACTCAATAACAAAAACAAAACAAATCATTAAAGATATTAAATTTATAAATGTTATTGATGCGTCAAAAAATTGTGTTGTTCAATCTCAATTAGAAGATATGAAACAATTAGAAATTACTGGTTTATATTTATGTGGAGAACATAAAAATTCATTTATTAATAGAGAAATTGAACAAATAGTTGGTGTTAGTGGTGAACCTTCAGTTAACCAAAAAAAAATTAATGCACAAGGTTGTGGTTGGTATGTACGTAAAACAGAATGGAAAGGAATGACTGGTAAAGAATTACTATCATTTGAAGACTTTAATAAATGTGTTTCAATAGACACAGTGATTCAACCAAATCAACTTTATATTCAGAGCGTTCAAAACAATCAAAAAATTGAAGTAATTAATACTCCACAATTAGCATCTGATTTAATTAAACTTCCACCATTAGACCAAGGAGTATACAAAATTTTATTTAAAAAAGTAGAGTATGACTATGAAAGCACAAGGTCAGAAATAGACATATGTATTGGTGAATTTACTGTTCAAGATAAGAGTGATGTATTAAAACTAGGTATTCAAAAATTTATAAACAACTTTCAAGGAGTTGTTGGCTGTTTTTGTGCTGATGAATCTTCTGATTTTCTTCTAGAAAAAGGATGTGAGTGTTGTGAAAGGGATCCAAAAACATATGGACCCACTGGAAAAGAATTTGGTGTATCATTATTCTCTAGTTGTAGTGTTGGAGATGAAGATGTGGATTTGGTATGGAAAGAAATAGAAGAATGTAATGGCATTGAAGAAATAGAAAAATATTCTGAGATTACATCAACTAGTAAAAGTATTGATACTCAAAAATATTTAGGTGTTTTTGAAAAACAAAAAGCTCAACTGGAAAGAGTTGAAAAAGCGTCTGAAATTGCTTCAAAGATTAGAAACACTGAAATGAAAGATCTTATTCAAGTTGTTGGTGAAAAGTATAAAAGAGAAATTATAAGGGAAGTTAACAGGCTTATTCAAGCCAATAGAGACAACCCTGATGATCTTCAAAATAAATGGGCTGACATAGTTAGTCGTTATCAAAGTAAATGATTCCAATTTTTTTATTAAATTTTAAATTATTTCAAAATTAAAGTATTTTTAAATAATTTATTTAAAAAAATTTTATATAATGTTATTTATTATATTATTACTTTTATCTTCTTCATCAATTCATTTTAAATCTTTTTTGTTTCTTTTTAACTTGGTTTATTTAAAATATTTTTATTCATGTGTTTTTTGTAATTAAAATAATAATGATGTATAGCTACATCAGTTTATCCTTTTCTTTTCAATATCTCTTTTAAATTTTCTAAAATTTTCCTTTTTCTCCTAAATTCAATTGAATTTTAAAACTAAAACTCTGTTTTTAAATTTTTATTATTGTTTTTCCATAAATAATTTCAATATATTTTCTTTTAAACTTCTATTACCTCTTTTGTTTTCATTCAAATAAATAAACACATTTTATATTTACCGTCTGTGTTTAATAGAAACAAAGATACACCCCTTTTCTTTTTTTTTAGTTTGTGTTATATCATTGAAATGAAAACTATTGCTTATTGTTGATAAATGCTATGATAAGTATATCAAAGGCATTTAGTAAAGAATAGTAATATTATGAAAATGATATTTTGGATTGATGATTAGATTAGTGAATTGAAGAATATGTATATAGAAGAGTTAGGTTATGATTAGTGTTCTAGATAAACAAGACTAAGTAAAAGAGAATAATGAAGGTATGAAAAAGAAGTAAATGTAAAATAGATAACAATAGGGAAGTACAAATAAAGAATTTTTATCAAACGAGATTATAGTAAGGTATGATAAAATACAAATAATAGATTGGAGAAGAATAAATAAGATTAATGAAGTTATAAAAGTAATGTCAAATAATATTTATTGTAAAGAGATGAATTGTAAACAAATGATTAAATAAAGAATAATGAGTGAGAAGTTAATCTGATAGAGAAAAATTAACAGATATAGATTACAAAATGAATGAAATACATAATGAAGATAATGTCTCACAATATAAAATAAGAAAAGAAAATAACAAATAGTTTTGAAAGTCGAATTGATTACACAAGAAAGAAATAAATAAGAATAAATAAAGAAATAATAACAAAAAGGATAACAAAAAAGAAAAATGATTATTTAATTAACAAAAAGAAAGAAGAAAGACAAATAATAATTAATAATAAAGAAAGAAGTGAAGAAATAATAAAAAAAAATAAGAAAAAGACATAAAAGAAAAAAAAAGAATAAAGATATATTTGAAAAAGTTTTTTATGAAAAGATGAGAAAAGAATATATAAAAAAGAAGAAGGTGATAAAAGAATAAAAGGAGAAATAAAGAAAGAGATGAAGAAATATAAGAGTAAATAATCTAAAAGTTAAAAAAGAAACTTACAAAAATATAGATGACAAACAAAGAGATCAAACCACCAATAAAAGAAGAAATAGAAAAGGAAGGAAAAAAAAAAATAGCATGGAAAGAAGAAGAAGATACAAGATTAATACAAGCAGTAAAAGAATTTGGAACGGAGAATTGGATAGCAATACAAAGTACAGTAATGACAAGAAGTATAAAAGAATGTAAAAAACGATATTATAATTATCTTGATCCAACAATAGATGGAACAGGATTTACATTTGAAGATGATATAATTATTTTAAAAATGGTAAAAGAAATAGGAAAGAAATGGATTGAAATAAGTCAACATTTAGTAGGAAAAACACCACATCAAACACGACTTCATTATGAAATAGATTTAAAAGAATTTCATCAACATGATGATCATTCTGATGAAGATAATGATGGGAATGAAGATGAAGGGAAAAAACCATTAGATTCAATTACACAATTAATTCCTAATGCAATGGGAGAAGAATAAAAAGATAAATTATAAATAAATAAAAATAAATGTAATTCAATTAATAAAAAAAAAAATTAAATTTTTTAAATAAAGAAAAAAAAAAATTAATTTAATTTTTTTTTGTTACTTTAAAAATTTCATTTTGTTCATTATATTCAATGTATTTAAACACAACATCTTTTGTTGAAGGAATATCAAACATAGTAATGTGTTTTACTAATACATCTCTTCTTTCAATTTTTCTTCCATCAATTCCAAATCTTTCAATTCTATTATCAAAATGTCTTCTTGGTAAACAATGACCACAAATAATTGAAGCATTATCATTACTCCAAGTCCATTCAGTAGTACATTGAGAAGAAAATTTACAAACACGTTTAAAATGTTTTGTATCATAAATTTCAACATCACCAGGAAGATTACCAAAACCAGCAATAGCAAGAAATTGACTATTATAAGAAAAAGAAATTGTATTAAAGAAACAAGATTGAATAGAAAAAATTTGATTCATATTTGAAGTATCAAATAATATTAATTTAGAAGGTTGTGTTCCATATAAAATAGCTAAAAAATTACCAGTAGGATCAAAAGAAACATCTTGAACTTGAGTTTGAATAAGAGTTTGAGTAAAAACATTATTTATAGAAGTTTTAAATAATGATTTATCTAATTTACTTTCAATTAATTTACTATTAGAATTTTGTGAAATATATAAAGAATGTAACATACTAGTTCCATAATAATTATGTCCTGTTTCATCAAAATCAGTTGATGTTGTAGCTAATAAAATATGACCTTTTTTACACCAATTAAAAAGAACACTTGTTCCATTTAATACTGAAATTGTATTAATAAGTTTACATGGTTTTCCAATTTCTTTTCTATATAAATCAATTACTCCTGGAAATCTATTTCTTTCTGGAAAGAAAATACTAAAAACAAGTCCTGAATCATATGGACTAAATTCAATTGTTTTTCCTCCTAAAATTTCATCTCTATCAATACTTTTTGTATTAATTAAATTTTCTTTTGAAAATGTTTTACATATTTTATTTTCTTCATATTGATAATATGTTATTCCATTTCCTTCAATAATACAAATAATATTATTTTTAATTGTAGTTATTGGCCAACTTATTGGTGTACCATTAATTCTTCTACTAAATCCTATATTATATGTATTTTTTTTTAATTTAATTAAATAATACATTGATGGTTCTTTAATATATCCTTTTATATTAATTACTGGTGGCATTTGAAAAATATGTAAAAATTCATTTATAATACTAATATTTTGAATATATTCAATTTCTATTTCATATAATGTTTCAAATAAATAATTAATTACTTCTATTCCTTTTTCTTTTTGAATTAAAAGTAATTCAAGTGTTTCACATTTAAAACAATCTATTCCATCTTTATATTCTTTTATTTTTCCTTTATAATATATTTCAACACCTTTTTTCTTAACAATAAAATAAGGATTTGAAATATTAAGTGTATTAGTTAAATTATCTTGCATATTAAATATATAATTATTTGAAGTTTATAATAATGAACATAAAAGAAATAAATAATAATCAATAAAATAAAATAAAAAAGAAACCCTTTTCCAAAAAAAATAGAAAATAAAAAATAGGAAAAAATAAGAAATGAAGTATGGGAAATAAAAATAAAAAAATAAAAAAAAAAAAGAATAAAAAATAAAGAAATATAATGAAGAGATAATATTACTTTTCATAATAAAGTGGAACTATAAAATTCAAGAAATAATATAATACATGGAAGGATTCACTGAAGAAGAAATAATTATATTAAATGAAGCAGATATTCTTTCACTTAGTAATGAAGAAATTAAACAAGAAATTAAACAAATGGAAAGACAAGAAGGAGTTATTAGACATGAACATGAAAGAATTAGACAAGAACTTTCAGTTATTAATAAACAAAATAAAGAAAGTAAAGAAAAAATAGAAATGTTTGCAAAATTACCATTTTTAATATCAAATGTAGTTGAGATATTAGATATGCCAGAAGAAGAAAATGATGATGGATCAGGATTAGATAATAAAGGAAATATAGGAAAAAAAGGAGTTGTTATTAATACATCTATGAGATCAAATGTATTTCTTCCAGTATCAGGACTTGTTGATGTTAAAGAACTTAAACCAGGAGATCTTGTTGGAGTTAATAAAGATACATATTTAATATTAGAAAAATTACCACAACAATATGATGGAAGAGTTAAATCTATGGAAGTAATTGAAAGACCAACAGAAACATATAATGATATAGGAGGATTAGATAAAGAAATGAAAGAAATGATTGAAGCTATTGTTTTACCTATGACACAAAAAGAAAAATTTGAAAAAATTGGGATTCAAACACCAAAAGGAGTTCTTTTATATGGACCACCAGGAACAGGAAAAACATTAATGGCAAGAGCATGTGCAGCACAAACTAAAAGTACATTTTTAAAATTAGCAGCTTCACAACTTGTTTCATCAAGTATTGGAGATGGATCAAGAATTATTAGAGATATGTTTGCACTTGCTAAATCAAAAGCACCAGCAATTATTTTTATTGATGAAATAGATGCAATTGGTACAAAAAGAACAGAAAGTGAACATAGTGGAGATAGAGAAATTCAAAGAACAATGTTAGAATTATTAAATCAATTAGATGGATTTAGTAAAACAGATGATGTTAGAGTTATTGCAGCAACAAATAGAATTGATGTTTTAGATCCAGCATTATTAAGATCAGGAAGATTTGATAGAAAAATAGAATTCCCAACACCAAATGAAGAAGCAAGAATTCATATTTTACAAATTCATAGTAAAAAATTAAAATGTAGTGATGATATTAATTTTGAAGAACTTGCACGTTCTACACAAGATTTTAATGGAGCACAATTAAAAGCAGTTTGTGTTGAAGCAGGAATGATTGCATTAAGAAGAGAAGCATTAGAAATTAAACATGAAGATTTCCAACAAGGAATATTAGAAGTTCAAAGCAAGAAAAAGAAAAGTTTAACATATTTTGCTTAAAAGAAAAAAGAGAAAATAAATTGATAAAAATTTTATTTAAAATTAAAATAATTTTTAATAAAAAAGAAAAAAAAAAATAAAAGAACTATTAAAAATAAAATATAAAATAATAATAATAATAATAAAAAAATGAATAATATTCAATTAGAAGAATGGTATAATAATATCTTTGAAACACCAAGAAAAAAAATTAAAATTAATGGAGGAATTATTGAATATGAACAAAAATTAAATCAAATTAATCAATTTTCAGGAGGAATACTTGAATATATAGAAATGAATAGTAAAGAAAAAGAAGGATATTATGAAGTTAATGGAAATGAAGAAAAAAAAGAAGCAATAGAAAGTTATATTGAATTTCTTGAATATTTTTATTATCAAAGAGAAGATAATAATTGGTTTCATCCAAATAAAATAATTAAAAAAGAAGAAGGATTAATATATAAAGAATGTGCAAAAAAATTAGGAAATATTCTTTGTTGTGGAGGAGATTTAAGTGATGGATTAAAATATTTTGGAATGTATGATGAATGTGGAAGAATTTTAGGAGAATTATTTACAATTATGGGAGAATCAATTTGTAATTCATTTAAAAAAGATAAAGAAAGAAAATGGAAAGATTTTATTACTATAGGAATGAAATGGGCATTAGTTTGTAGACCAAAAGAAATTTTAAATAATTATATGATGGTTAAAAATATTATTGATTTTTATAATTTAGAAAATATATTAATTACAAATTAATTTATTTTATTTAAATTATTTTCTTCTTTTTATTTTAAAATGAAAAGACAAATTTATTTAATAATATTTAATCTTTTAATAAGAAATTAAAAAAAAAAAATTTTTAATAGAAAAGAAAGAAGAATAAAAAAAAATATGAATCAATATTTTATTATTTTTTTCTTGATTATATTAATTATTAATGGTTCTTATTGTGATTTAAAAAAAGAAGATGGATTTTATTGTGATAGAAATAATTTAATTAAATGTAATAATGGAGATCAAATTTATTCTATTACTTGTCCTTTAGGTTGTAATCAAACTACTCCTTTTAAAACAACATGTTCAGGAACATCTTCATGTTTTTATGGATATCCAGGTAGTTTTTGTGAATTAAAAGAAAATAATGATGGAACATATATTAATGGAATAACTATATGTCATAGAAATGGATTACAACATTATTATTCATGTATTCATAAATGTGAACAATTAACTGATTCATTTGCTAAATGTATTCCTGATGATAAATGTTCTCAAATAACAACTACTTCAAAAACATTTGGTTATTGTCCATCACCTCATTATTCAATTTATTCAAATACAAAATATGAAATGGCATTAAATGATGCATTAGCAAGAGAACTTCATCAAGAATTATTATTAAAATCACCATATTGTCCATTTATGGCATATTTAACATCATGTAGTATTGTATATCCTGAATGTACATCAAATACAATTATATTTAATAATGATAATAATCAATGTATAATAAATTGTAATAATTATTTATTATGTTCAAAAGCATCAGGAATTTCAGTATCATTAGATTGTACATTATTATGTTCAACAAATACAATAAATAATATTATTAATATTATTTTATTAATTATTTTATTATTCTAAATAAATAAATAAAAAATTAAGAAAAAAAATTAAATAATGAAGTGAAATTATTTATTTTATGTTTTTTTTTTTTTTTTTTTTGATTTAAAATAAATAATATTTAAAATTTTTAATATTATTTGTATTTTTTTTTATTTTTGTACGTAAGTAAAATCTGTAAAAAATCTATTATCAGCAACAACTTCAACTCCTGTAAAAAATCAACTTCTTCTTGTGTAATTTCATCATCAAAATTTGATGTATCAGTTTGTGATTGAATTTTTGGAATATACGGTGGTGTTAATTTTTCTTATATAAATCATCAAAATTAAATCCATTAAACCATGGATGAGTTTTAATTTGATCAGGATCAGTTAATCTTTTAGATGGTTCTTTAATTAATAAATTATTAATAAAATTCATACATTCTTCAGTAATTGGTTTTGTTGTTGGATATTTTGGTTCTTCTTGTAAAATATTTTCATATAATTCTTCCATTGTTTCTGCTAAAAATGGTGATTGTGTAAATAACATTTCATATATTAAAATACCTAATCCCCACCAATCAATATATTCATTATAATCTAATCCTTTAACAACTTCTGGTGCAAGATATTCTGGTGTTCCACAAAATGTATTTGTAGTACTTTTTTTTGTACTTTTTGCTAATCCAAAATCTGTCATTCTTAAATATCCATCTTTTTCAAAAAGAATATTTTCTGGTTTAATATCTCGATAAATAATTCCTGTACTATGCATATGTTCTAATGCTAATATTATTTGTGCCGCATAAAATTTTACATCAACTTCTGGTAATCCTGTTGAATGTTTTTGTAAATAACTAAATAATTCTCCTCCTGCACAATAATCTAAAATAAATACAAGATGTGTTGGTGTTTGAAATGAATAATGCATATTAACAAGAAATGGATTATTAATTTGTGATAATACTACTTTTTCTGATAATATATGTTCTACTTCATTACTATCAATTATTTGTGCTTTTTCAACTGTTTTCATTGCATATATTTTTTCGTCTTTTTTATATTTAACTAACATAACTTTTCCAAATGCTCCTTTTCCTAATAATCTTATAATTTCAAATTCTTCCATATTTATTTTATTTTCTTCTTTTATTTCTTCTTTATTTTTCTCTTTTTTATCTCCAATTATTTCACTTATTGCTTCTACCCATGAATCTCTATCACTTTCTTCATTAACACTAATATGATATGTTCTTGATGGTGTAATAATTCTTATTATATTTTTTCTTTTTTTATATTGTTCTACTGCTAATACATGTGTAATTTTATTTATTTCAATATCTCCCATTTTTTTTGTCATCCCTTCATCTTTAAAATATTCAATTTTCTCTTTACTTAATTTAAACATCCTTTTTTTCCATGTTTTCCAACTTCCTCCTTCTTTTATTCCCCATCCTGTTTTAATTGACATATTATTATTTATTTCTTAGTTGAGTTCTTTTTTTTTCTTCTTGTTCTTTTTCATTTATCAAAACCTATTTTTATTTTTAGTCTTCATCTCTCTATTCCTTTCTAAGTTCTTCTCTATTTATATCTTTCTTATTTTTTTATCACTCTTCTTTTCTTTATTTTTCTTGTTCACTTCTTTCTTTACTATTTCGATTTCTTACTTATCACCACCTCCATTCATATTATCCCTTTCATTAAATTAAACTACATCAATAAAATCAATTTCTATCTTTGAAATTAATTATTGACAATGTATTATTGAGATACATTTTCTATCTTGACAATTTTTATTGAAATGTAATGACTTCTTGTGAAATGAATATTTAACTCAGTAGATCTTTTCATTCATTTGAAAATGAATTGAACACAGAAAGAATCTTATTTAATATGAAAAATATTTGAAAAATGAAATAAGGTGAAAATTGAATGATTATTTAATCAAATTAAAGAGTATCAAGAATTTATTGTTCATATTCTTTTCTATATAAAAAAGAAATGAACCATTTGTTTATATTTAACACATTATGTTATTTTTTCACTATTTAATAAATTCTAAATGTCATTTAAAGAAGAGTAAGAA